GTCGCATATGTAGATTCCTCCACTCACCTTTGCATTTTTCTGCAGCTGCTTACTGGCATGCCCAGCCAAAATGGGACAGAGACTTCCTTTATTCTAATGGACATTTGAAAACGTTTCTAAAAAAAAATATGATTTGGAGAAGGAGCTCTTTCTAGCTTTCTGTATGATTGAGAATGGCCCCTGCTTGGAGAATGATTTGGATGGTCTTTATAGGAAGTCCACACCACACATCAACTGCATATGCTTGTCAGCAGCTGCAGAAAAAACTATAGGTAATTGAAGCAAGTTACATGCACTGCTTGCCCTGTAACTGGTTGATGCTTCCTGGATATGATGGAGTGGGGAGCAGATCCATGTGTCCAAGGCTGCAGCAGCTTTGCAGGTGCTGATGGACCAGGTGGGCAGCTGAGGGGGGGGGGGAGAGACAGGCAGATAGGGAGTTGCCGAGCTCCTGCAGTCAGTTGTAAGGATTGGTGGACTGCCAAGTGTCCAAATTTTCATCACTTGAGGGTAGGAAAGCTGCAACAATCTTAACTTTGGGTGCAGATTGTAAGTTCTTTTGTTCAGCAGTCATGTTTTCAAATGGCCACTGAATGAACAGTCAATAAGTGAGGACTATCTGTACTTTTCCATATAGTTATCTCCATGTATTGGGTATTGATCGTAACTCTCCAAGAAGGGGACATTAAGTTTATCTCTCTGAAGCATCAATAAATTAGTACCGATTGGAAACTTCTAAGTCTTTTGTTTGTATCCAAAAAATAATCAAATAATGCCATTTTATTTTGGTGGGGTGGAACAGCCTGATTCTGATGTGCTGTCCCATTCCATTCAATCACCTTGATGAGGTATCCCATCTCTCCAAAATACTCATGTATTTTGTGTATCATATCCAAGAAATATCTTAATTTTTTTACATTATTCAATCTCTCAAACAGAATTATCAACAGGCCATCCTTTACAGGAAAATTAAACAGCACTAAGTTCCACCATGTGGCAAACATGTCCTCTATACTTTTACTGTATGAAACTTTCCTTATCCTTGACAAACAATTCAGTTACTGTAATATGCAAATGTATTTGCTGCAGCATTAACTATATTGCATTATTCTCATTTATTTACACTTAAGAGTTCACAATCTTTTATACATGTTTTATACAGAGCTGTATCTAAAATAAAACTGTAGTCATACACTTTTGTTTCTTGGAAAGAAAGTAAATGCAAATTAGTAATTAGCATAAGAGGAAATTAATAACATGATCCTGATAATCTATATTTCTTTGCCCTTTAAAACTACTCTGAACTTTATACAGCTCTGATTTTCAGGCATGCTCAGTTCAATCCATTTAATGTCAACAACACAGGCTACCAAAAGCCTTGGCTGGATAGCAAAATGTGACCCTCTGCTACAAGACAGCAAGTTTGCACACCAATGTCACGCCAAATTATTAATTGCCATGTGCATTTCAGAGATAGCTTTGGTTATTAAAACTTCATTAACACCATGCTGTGAAAAGCCTTTTACTCTTTAAATTTTGTACTCTAAATGGGGATTTCATATGTGAACACTGTCATCTGAAGGTCGCTGAATACATAAAATGCTATTTACTACCTCCAGTTTAAATTCATAAACTTTCTCCCATTAACAACAGCATTCTGAGCTTAGCACAAAAGCTTTCTGAAAAGAAATCACATCCAGGTACATCACATGTACCAACCTAGTTATCTTAGAAAACACTGTGGAATAAATGAACTCCATTTTGAGATACCTATCTCTCATTTAATATTTAGTATGGCTTTCTTATTTATCTTCGCTAGATACCACAAATGAAGCCTATTTCACATTGTTTCTTTCTACACAGTGCTAAATCCAAATGTTTATCTAATGACTGAGGTGCAATTTAAATCCTAACCAAATATCAGGGTAGAACTGCTCTACATATATGCAAATATGTGCTGATTATCAGCTATAGCATCCATTCTGAAACATCTACACTTATAAAAATCATTTTAAAATGTTTTTGCCATTCCCTCCTATACTTATTTCAGTCTAAATGAATGTTGGACTTCCTATAGCTCTACTGATTTTCTAATTAACATTGCATGGAGCAGCTGTAATTTTAATATAGTGATATACATATTATCCAAATGTTCAGTTTACGAGCTGTTGTTTAATTAGGATTTTAGGTTTTATTGGTGAACTTTATTAGCTATGCCAGGAAAGACATTTTGGACAGTTTTTTTAACAGCTTGCTTGAGAAAAGGGAATGGCCATATTTCTGCCAACTAGCAATAACAAGCTCAGATGCCTCCAGATGTCACTAAAAGCCAAGAGGCAAAGAAGACAGAAGGAAGCAACCTAAGCAAACACGGAAGTACCCCCTTCCATAAAGAACATTAAATAGCTTCCTTGTGCTAGAATTACTATACAGTATTGGAATATTTATTGAATTTGCTTCAGCACAACTTGCTTTTTCACAAGTATTTTATCAAAAAAGTACTTTCAGAACGATTCAGAGAAAAAAAATCACAGGCTCATAAACTGTTTTTTTTCCATCCACATTTTCCATTTCCTCCTTTCAATTATAGAATCCATTAGCCAGCCTTTCCAAGATTTTACATGCCTGAAATAAAAGCTGTGCACTATTCTCTTTGTATATGTATTAAAGAACTAAGTGAAATAAATTTCAGGTATACGGAAACGAATAGTTAAGAGATTAAAAGATTCAACACACTAAAGAAAGAAGAGGATCCTACTTCAGGGTTTCCTTGCCTGAGATTCAGCCGTGCCTGCTTTTCTTTTATTATTTTTAATCAGTTGTGCAGCATTGGCAAAATGCTTTGTAATCAGTGAACGGAAAGCATACCAAATAAACACTTGAAGCCAAAGACGTAGTTCACACAATCTATGGCCCATCAACCAGCACCTAATGTTTTTTTTTTTTTTTAAATCAAGTTTGCGGTTTTCATGCAACGCTTCTAATCTTCTTGTCTGGGGGTTTAGAGAGAGAAAAAAACATGCTTTCGTTTCCCCAGGTAGCTCAGTACTTGGCAGCAAATCAGTAGCTTTTTAAAGCAAGGCTTCTGGCCACCATTTCCAAGAAATAGTTAAAAGAAAACCTGGCACTTGCTTTCTCTCTCTCTCTCTCTCAACTACAGGCGCCCGTCAGCTGTACTACGTGGTCAACTCGGTCCATTTTAATCCGGCTCACTTTATTTACAAAATAGGCATTAGAGACCCAATGCTTTCACGGTCTCTAATGGGAGGTTCTTTGGGTTGGGAGGATTATTAAAAACAACAACAACAACCACCCACATGCATCCAATAATCCGATGGTTTAAATCTCGTTTCTCAAATAATCCTTCTTAGTTTTAGCATCCTCGTTGTTTCCTTCCCCAACGCGGGACGACTAAGAGAGGGGAAATAGTTTCTTACAAAGGAGGGAAACACTTTGCCTCCCAGTTTTTGAGCAGAAAATAATCCAGATTTCCTCTTTCGCTTTTTTCTCTCTACCAAGGCCCATACTCGCCGCCGCCCGGAAGGGCAAAGAAGTAATTAAGTTCCAGCCAAGGGAGCCCCCAGGAAAGATATATCTCTTTCCCCCTAGAAGAGGGGGACCCGGCCCGGAGGGGGGGGTTGTTCAATCCCAGCTCAAGCACTAAAAAAAGGGTTTCTAGCCCTGGAAAGAGCGATCGGGAGACACATAGGAATCATTTACCTCTTGAAATCCCTCATTAGCCTCCGCCTGGCTGGAGTGGACATGATCTTCTCGCCCCGATGATCGAAGACTCCCGGTGGCCCCCTCCCCCAAAAGCCTCAGCACTGCTCCTAGCGCAGCTGCCTCGCTCCCCGCGCTGCTTCACAAACAACTCTGCAATGGCGTCTCCCTCCGCCGGTGGGAGGAGGGAAAGAAGCCACCCTTCGCGACTCTACCACTCGGCCTGCTTGCGGAGGAGACCCAGAACGCCTTAGGAACATACCACCGCGCCGACGTGAAAAGGGGAGCACCCTTTTTTCCGAGCTCCCGCTGGGGAGCTTCCGCTCGCTTTTTAAGCCGGAGGGACGCGGTTGCGGCGGCGCGGGCGATGTTTTTGCAGATTTCAATTGCAGCACGTTCTGATTTTTGATTTCAAAAGATCGCGTCTATTATTCATCTTTCTATATATTAACCACAGTTCCCTGATCGTTAAATTGTGGAGGTGTGGTATAAGCCTGTGAAGAATCTAATGATAAACAAGTCTCACTGTGCTTTTAAGAGTTAATTTATTATCGCGTGAAAAATTGGGTCGGTTTTTAAGATGTCACAGGATTATTTTTGCCGCCTAATGTGACCAACAACCGAACCTATAGGTGTATGACTGTGTGTGTAGCGACCTTGCCCAGTAAAGGAGTGCTTTTTTTTTTTGCCAATCTTCCAATGTTGTTTTTAGATACATCTCCATTCGACGATAAAATCGGGGTTGCTTGGGTAACAGAGGCAACAATCCCCTAAAAACGGTGATCTGCAAAATGAAAAAGAGTTAAGCAACTATACTAATGCAGCTGAAGCGACAGGGACGTACGTGAATGAGTATAAGAAAAAAAAAACAATTAGCAGAATGCCTAGTTATAGCTACGGAAATATTGCAAGCTTTCTGATTGTGTGCAATGAGACCCGATTAAAGCGGGTTAAAAAAAAACCACCCTCGATCCAGCATATTGCCTATTAATTTAGAAAATAAGTTTTACGAACGTAACTACGGCCGAAACCACCCGCCCCTGAAACATCTGATGTTTCCCACTTTCGATCATCTGATGGTACAAAGGTGCTACATGAGGGCAAAGAAATGAGCTTTTTCCGGGCTGTGGGCACTCGGCGTTGTCCGGTGCTTTCAAATGAATTTTTGCCGATTAGCGGCTTTTGCAGAAACACCCCATAAGGCGGGACAGAACATCGTCTTCCACCCGGGAGCTGACGTCACCCAGGACCTTGCCTTGCCCGAAACCTTATCGAACGCGATGACGTCGTGCCTGGCTGTTGACATAGCGGCGGTTGCCATGGAACTGGACCGGTTTGCTTGGCTAGACCTGGGAAGACTCAACATGGGGATTTCCCGGGAGCAGGTCAGGAGCGCCCTAGATAAGGGAGGGCAGCTGTGGGATATCCTGGTGTGACGCGGAAAAGAGGTTCCTTGAGGCCCGGAAAAGAGCAGGCAGGGTGGGGTGTGAGGTGATGAAGCTTGCTCAGGTTGCGTTTCCAAATACTGTAGCATGGGAGGGGAGATGTGGTGGAAGTGAGGAAAAACGTTGCAAATCATCAAAATCCAAATGCAGGTTTAAAAGCAAAGGATTATTTTGCAGTCCTGTAATAATCCCTTGCTCCAGAGAAACCTTCAGTATACTCAAAAGTACCTAAATAAATGTGCAGGGGATTGAGTTGGCTATGCATTATGCAACATCCAAATGCACCAAAGGACACATTTGCAATGTAGATTAATCAGAAGTTTCCACTCTTGATATCCCCCATGGTGGGCAGAAGGATCCTTGTGTATTTATTTAAGATTTATTTTATATGGAAACCCAACTCACTCTCAGTAACTCCCGGAGGCTTACAAGGATAAAAGCCCAATACAAAAATAAATAAAATGCAATAACCTCCCTGTGCCCCGCTGGCGACAGCAATCAAATGCACCATTTGATGGGCTTCATCTCATTTCCATCTGTTAAATGGTTTTAATGCTTCCTGCAAAAATCAGGGAGTTAAACATTTGCCATTTTTTTTTCTTTTTGAGAAGTGGGAGTTACTCCATTATAGCAGAGTGTACCCAGTACAGTAAATAAGTAAATAAGGATAAGCTGCAAAGAATGCAGACACAACCTAGTTCAATAGAGGGAGAGATGAGCTAGCCCCTGGCAGAAATTTGATTAGCTCTCCTACATTTCTTTGCTATTTACCATCTTGATAGAGATTAATAATCATTGAAATGCAATCCTCTTCAGGGGAAGAATTCCCTGCTTTTGATCCTCTACCCTCTTGGGCATTTTTCTTATGTATGACATTTTCCATGTTTCAGCAATTAACCATTTTGGAAATGAATTTTCCTAATATTCATATAAATAATAGTTTCTTCAAATAATCTTATTGGAAAAAGAGAACATTTTTAACAGAGAATAAATCCAGACAATATGCTATTTTTAATATATTATAGTCACATGATAAATCTTGGAGCCATAATGTAGTTTGCAGGTGGATCTGAAATAAAAGCATTAAGAAATGGAATGTATTAAGAGTCAAGAGTAGACTATAAACTAATTGCCTGATTTGAATGCAAGCATATGGTCCACCAAATCTCTAGTCTTAACAACTCAGTCATCCTGGATCAGAGCTTTAGCCAATTTATTCAACAATCCGTTCTTTCAGTAATCAACTTACTTATAGAAAATTGATAAGCAGAGGCTCAATAACAGTTTTATATCCTCAGCAACAGTCAATTGGAAGCATATTATTTCTTATACTGGTGGGAGCAATATACCATCATGACAAACAATTGTAGATAGCCTTATCCTGCAGTAGTCCTCTCCATTGACAATAAATATTCAAAAACCCAAAAGGTATTGATATTAATTGCCCACTTTAGTCTGGTGGAATTTGGATAAATCAGTGTCTTTAACCATTATATAGCTTATTAGATATAAGATGTTTAATTCTGATTATGTGCTATCAGGCCAGTATGCCTGTGAGTGTAGCCATAATTTATCTGCTCATGTTTATAAGCAGGGCTTAAGAAACAAAAAAAAATAAGACTGGTTAACAAGATTTATTTTTTTTCTTCCAGAGATTTCAGACTTGAGTATGGAAATGTATGAGATCCTTGGAAAAGTGGGAGAGGGAAGTTACGGAACGGTAATGAAATGTAAACACAAGGAAACAGGACATATAGTTGCCATTAAGATATTTTATGAAAAAACAGAAAAATCTGTCAACAAAATTGCAATGAGAGAGATAAAATTCCTGAAGGTTTGCTTCTTTTATTCTTTTAAAAATCAGTGTTTTTAATAGAGGCCTGTACAACTTGTAGGGGGAAAAGAGCAACATTGATACCGTAAATGAAAAATAATCACAACATGCAAAGAAATACCAATCAGTTGTTCACCAGCTAGTAGAGCTGTGGCAGTGCTAGAACTGACAGTCAGACAGTGAGTCTGGAGGCATAGAAAGTATTTGGCAAGGCATCTTTGCACTGACTGTGGCAGTTTATTTGTTGAGAACACATGTTGTGTGAGGTGTTTTGATATTAAAATTTTGATTTATAACCTAGTAAATACATGTTCTTCTTAACTGCCTCTTACCACTTCGGGTGTCGAAGATACAAGATTCAGGTTCTTGAACTTCTGGCAGCCTCAACCATTGTTATTTGATGCTGTTGTAGTGTGTCTTTGATGTTGTCTCTCAATCTTCTTCTGGGTCTGCTTTGTGTTCTTTTGCCTTCTCTTTTTGTATATGCCTTGTATGGTATAGAATCCCAAGACATTCTTTTCAGGTGAGCAAATCACTTAACACTGTCTTTGTAATTTAAGATTGGTTCTATTCCAGTTCTTTCTCTTATGATCTCATTTTTTATTTTATCCCTTCTGGTCACTCCACAGCTTTCCTCAAACATCTCATTTCCTTGGTGTTTAACTTTCACTCATGCTTTATTGCAAATGTCCATGTTTGGCACTGGTAACATAGGGTGGGGATGTATATAAATACATATTAGTATAAGTAAAGGAATTATGTTTATGCCAGGCTTATTTTGTGTAAACCTTTTAAAATTAGCATGCAGTTTTTTTAAAGAACTTAACACTCACCTTGATGTTCCAAAGAAATTAATTACATTTATTACTTTATACATTTCTTATATTATCTGTAGCAGTATTTGGCAGTATTTCTTTATTTTACAGATTTAGATTTTTAAAATATGTGTTTAAATATTTTAAATAATATATTTTTCAGTGACATTGTTTCAGTGAATGTTGAAGTTATCCCGGCTTGGCTCTGCTGGCTGTCCCAGTGGAAGTTTCCTCTTGAAAAAAAAAATAATCTTCAAAAGTATCCTGCTGCAGCTACTTCATTTCTTCATATGGCTGCAGCAAGATATACTTATGTTATGCTGTTGTTTTCGTAGATAATAAATATAACAATTAGAAATACAGCAACTATATATTAATTATATAGTATTTAATAATAGAATTATTTTTATTATCCCTCAGTTTCCAAAGCTTTGTTTTAGTGTAGTAAACACAGGACTTCCTTTCATACCCTCATGCTGTTTAACTTCTATATAAATCTGTTAGGTGAGGTGATCTGGGATTTGAATGTGGATGTTATTGGTATCCTGATTTTGTCCAACTATATTCCTCCCTTTTATTGGAGTTATATGCTGTTGCGCAGGAAAGGGACTACTGACTGGATACTCGAATGACCGAGACATGAAATTACTCCTGATAAATTGGAAGCTGGATAGAATTGGCGTTCTCAGATCTGGACATTTGAAAAATAGCTTACTTAGCTAGGATTACACTTTTAAAAATGTCAATAGTTTTAGGGTGTTTTTCATCAATTTTTTGTCATTGAAAAAGCAAGTAACTTTGATGATCAGGAGCCCCTTTAGCCAGGTACATCTATTTTTAGTCAGGGATAGAATATTCATTCTCTGCAATTTCCTTTCTGGATATCTATGAGGTTATATTTGAAAGTGGCAAACTTTTCACATTCATTGAAAATACCACATTTAAGATCAGTGGCTCTTTGGTACTGTCATACAAGCAAAAAGAAAACAGCAGTGATGTGTCACAGATCATCATAAATGATTTCTCAGTTTCTTTTAGATGATTCCACCTTACAGCCAGAAGCAATGTGTAACCATTTGCATTGCACCTGATCTTTATTTGCTAATTTAAGAGATGGTTGTGATTCTGGTAGCAAGTTTTGGGTGGTGGTTTTCAAGATTATTTGACCAAACTTGATCCAGAGAGGACAGACCAATTTTGCTCTTTTAGACACTGCAAGGCACTGATAGGGCTCACAAATTCTGCAGATCCTGGTAACAGCACATATAATTTCCATCAGACCAATTTCAAAAGAATTGCACCAGGTGCCCTATGTTTATGCCGTATGTTTGTGGCGTTGATAATAACACATAGAATCCTAAGTGGGATATCTCTCCTATAAGTATTTGCCTAAATATTAGGGTCTGTTAGTCTGTCATCTTTGTTCCCTTATGGAAGGTATATGTTAGGAAGAGATGAAGAGATTTTCAGCTGTGATAACTGAGTTATGAAATGACTCCTTTTAATGGGCCTTTCATGCTACATTGTTATTAATTCAAAAACATGTTAAGATGTAATTATGTAAACCTTGAAATCAATATAATTTTATGTTCCATAGTAGTGTTTCTTTTATAGTGATTTTCTAAAACTGGAATTGCTATTGTATAGTTTTCCTGATTCAATCTACCACATAGGTGGGCTACAAATATGTTAATATAGGTAGTCCTTTACTTATAACCATAACTGAGTCCAAACTTTCCATTTCTAAGCAAGGCAGTTAAGTGAATTTTTGCCATAGTTGTTAAGGGAATCACTGTTAAGTAAATCATGTGTGTTAAGCAAATTTGGTTTCCCCATTGACTTTGTTTGTTGGAAGTCAGCTGGGAAGATTACAAATGGTGATCACATGACCCCAGGACAGTGCAACTATCAAAAAATACATGCCAATTACCAAGCAGCTAAATTTTTAACATGTAGCCAGGGAGATGCTGCAGTGTCGTAAGTGTGAAAAACCAATCATAAGTCACTGCCATTGTAACAGCCACTAAAAGAATTATTGTAAGTCAAAGACTACCTGTAAATACTGTAACAATTTATAGGGTGCTTGGCTCCCAATAACTTTGGGAGGTTTTACAATTCAGTAAAGTGGCAGATGAGGGTCCCCCCGCCCCCTAGCTTGGTTTTCTTTGTGCGAAGATTCTTAATTTAAGAATTGGCTTTTGTGAGGTAAATTCCATTTTTAAAAAATTGTAATGTAGATGAAGCCAAGTTTTTAGTTATTCTTTCATAGATTTCCTAGTTAACATAGTGTTTGTGATACTTTTATTAAATTACTTAATAAAACATATAAAATATATTGGTTTAAATTAATTATTATAAAAAATAATTGAGTGTTGAGGGTAGGGTAGAGCACACACAATATTCTTCATTTGCTCTTTTGTTAACAGCAATTTCGTCATGAAAACTTGGTCAATCTGATTGAAGTCTTCAGACAAAAAAAGAAAATTCATTTAGTGTTTGAATTTATTGACCACACAGTTTTAGATGAGCTGCAACACTATTCTCATGGACTGGATAGTAGAAGACTTAAGAGGTATCTTTATCAGATTCTTCGAGCAATTGACTACCTCCACAGCAACAATGTAAGTACTTTACAAAAATCTTGTAAGTATTGTACAGCTTGATTACTGCAATGGACTCTATATTTAGCTGCCCTTGAAGACCACTTAGAAGCTTCAACAAGTCCAGAACACAGCAGCACGAGCAGTGATGGGCATACCTCAGTATGCCCATGCAACTCCTCTGGTTTGCAAGCTGCACTGTTTGCCATTTAGCTTTTAGGTGCAATTCAAGGTGCTAGTAATTTCCTATAAAGCACTTCAGTGATATAAGACCTGGTTACTTGAAGGCTGCCTATCTCCCATAGTATCTGCCAGACTGAATCAAACTGGCAGAGATAGTGTTCTCTAGGTTTCTTCAATTAAACAATGGCATCTCTTGGGATTCTGGAAGTGGACTTTGTTATGTCAATTTGGTATAATAGCAAACTATTCCCATACTTCCTCTTACTGGACCTCCAGCATAAACCTGGTAGTTTAAAAAAAATTCTGAGATTAAAATTTCCAGCTTTGTTCATATAGGTCAGAGCTGTCAAACTCCTGGCTCGTAGGCTGGATGCGTCACATGCTGGCCACACCCATATCCGGTTTAGGGAAGGGGGGAAAAGTCCTGATGCGTCACGTGATGCCATCGTGACAATGTGAGTTTGACATCCCTGATATAGATCTTTTAAAATTCTATGTAGAAAATCCAACAAGGCAGCAAACATCCTTGAGTCACAGACTTCTTTCATCTGAGCTCTTGAATTAATTTGCTTTTCTATCCAAACATTCAACATTCTTGAACAAAGGGATAATTCCCTTTTTTTCAACATTGGCTTATAGGAAATTGAATTCCTAATTAACAGTTATGTTATTGTTCCTTCTAGTATATTAAAACAAAAGCTATAATTAAAAACCAAACATTATTTCAAATATGCTTTGCTCCACTAACAGAAAAAGTCTAGGTTTAAATAAAATGGAATGTAGTGTTCCCAAAATGATAATAAGCAGGCTTGTTGGACCCATCTTTGAAAATAATTAAATGGATGTCATATTAAGATCTCAGTATGTAACTTGCTTTTCAATCCTTTCTATTATTGCTTGAACCAGTATAAGACTAATACTACTAATAATATAGATAGGCTTTAGTTTTAAGCCTGTCATCAGTTCAACTAATTCACCTAGATTTTTTTCTACCTCCCAAAAGATAATTGAAGTTATTATTTTATTCTTAGATGTTTAGCAGTCTGAACTTGTATTCTTGTTACTGACTAGTTAACTTTTAATATTCTGTTTTCAAACAACCTATTTTTGTTCTTAAACCAGATTCTACATTATTCTTCTGCTAGGTCATTCACCGTGATATTAAACCTGAAAACATTTTGGTTTCACAAACTGGAATAACTAAGCTTTGCGATTTTGGATTTGCTCGGACGTTAGCAGCCCCAGGTGATATTTATACTGATTATGTAGCTACAAGGTGGTACAGAGCTCCAGAACTGGTATTAAGAGATACAACATATGGGAAGTAGGTATTTTTTTAAAAAATAATACATATGGCTGTTAAATATGTATCATTAATTATTTTTAATTAAATTACAGCCACACAGAATACTCCAAAAGCAAAAAAATCTATAAACTTACTTGTGGTGAATAATAGTAAAGGAACATTAGAGGGCGCCCTGATACATTTATATACTCTAGGTCTTGTTTTGATTTTAAAAAGTCCTTGATTTAGACTCAACTCCTCATTAACTTCTGGGAATAGCCCCGTAGTTTTCTTTGTACAGTAACAATAAGAGATGGTTTGTCATTGCTTATTCTGGATTCTTGTTTATTTGTTTGTTTGCTTTCCATTGTGGTCTTTAACTCTAGCATTCCCTACAGGTTCCCATTCAAATACTAATCACGCCCAACCCTGCCTAATTTCCCAGGTCAGACAGGGGCTGTTGCTACATGCTGAAGAGTTCCTTTTCTTTTCTTTTCTTTTATTTCCTTTCCTTTTTCCTTTTTCCTTTTGATAAATTCTAAAAAGTATTCAGTCTCAGCAATTTGCAGAATATCATAGACATAATCTACAGTTTGAAGAGAGCTATAAATGTTGCATTATGGTAAACTCTTGATTACAAAAGCACAAGCAAAACAATTCCAAAAATTTGAGCTGAGGAGATTTGGGCTATAGTAGGTTCTGCCAGATGGATGTAAACACACAGTTTGGTATCAATATGAAACATTATATATATACACTATATTGCTGAAAGTATTCACTCACCCATCCAAATAATCAGAATCAGATGTTCCAATCACTTCCATGGCCACAGGTGTATAAAATCAAGTACCTAGG